GGGTGGTGAGTGATGAGGGTGGTGAGTGATGAGGGTGGTGAGTGATGAGGGTGGTATGTGATGAGGGTGGTGAGTGAGGTGAGTGATGAAGGTGGTGAGTGATGAGGGTGAGTGATGAGGGTGGTGAGTGTGGTGAGTGATGAAGGTGGTGAGTGGGGTGAGTGATGAGGGTGGTGAGGGTGGTGAGGGTGGTNTAAGTGTGTTGGGTTTTGAGTGTGATGAGTAACGAATTCTGTAAGCGAAATGTAAGCGAATTGACGAGGTGTTAATGATGAGTTTTTGTGAGTGATGAGAGAGACAAATTTGTGGCCATGATTCTTAAAGGACGAACAAACCGAATTTTCCAAATAAAAACATTTACTTATCATACGCGAGAATATCTTTGATTATTCATCAAACCCGCCTTCCTTTTTCTGACATAATGGCAATAATTCACATTTTTGTCTGTGCCTACACATTCATGATGTATCGGGTAAACTTCGGAACACTTTACGCTCTGCTGGAATTCATTTACGCATTAAATTTAAACTCCAGTTAATGACACAGTCTCAAAATGGTATGAGATCATACATATTATTTTATCTTTTTTGCCTATTTGATTCAATTTTTTTCTTGGTTGTAATATTTTCTGCCGCTATTATTTCTCATTTCACAAGTGAACAATTCCTCCTACTTTCATTTTACATTTCCAAAAATAGCAGCCCGCCCATCTAAATCAATGATAAAAAAATATGTTTCCCCCTATACTATGGTTTTGAAAACCAATATGATAGGCCTATATGCGATAAAAAAAAGTCCAAGATAAAAATCACTACGACGAAAAATTAAACCTATATCCTGGAAGTTAATACAGCAATAAGCACGGGCATGAAGCTCTGACTTTCATTTCAGTTTATCCTTCATCCTGAATTTCATTCAGTTTATCTGAACGAAATTCAGAATTTCATTCATTTCAGTTTATCCTTCATCAGCTTCCTGAAATTATGCAAATGATCTCGTCTGCAGTCAAGAACGCATCGCCGCACCTCAGGTAGAACAACCGCGCAAACTTCAAGACCAAGTTGAGATTTTGGCTTAAAATCTTGGCTATGGAATAAGGCGCTGAGCACTGTTGCTTAGAGTCATGCTAAGTATGTTGCAATAGTGAGCAGAGTGATGTTAAGTATGTTGCAATAGTGAGCAGAGAGGTGTACAGTATGCTAAAATGGTGAGCAGCGTGATGATCAGTGAGCAGCAATGGTGAGGAGAACGATGTTCATTGAGCAGCAATGGTGAACAGAACGATGATCATTAAGATGCACATTGTTTAACATTCGTGTACAGTGAGCTTAAATGGTGAGCAAAATGATGATAGGTGAGCTGCAATTGTGAGCTGAGTGAAGTTCTGCTGCTGCTCGGGAGAGCAGCATTGGTTAGCAGCAGCAACAACAATTACAAATCACAATTTCAAAATTCAATAACAACGGAAACGAAGCTCTACAGTCAACGGTGCTCTACAGTCTTTGTTGCTCTTGCTGAGCTACCGAAAGATACATGAGATAACCTCATATGCGCTTAAGCGTGGCCACAGCGGCCTGCACATCTCTTGGGTAGCAATACCTGGAGGTAATAAATAAAGATCATAAATTAACTAAAAGAAAATAAACAGTGTCATGTGTAAAGTTTTTGGCAAAATGAGCATTTTGGTTTTTGAGGAGGGGTTCTATATGGGAATGCTTTTTTTGAGATTGCTGAATGTTTTTTTTTAGGAGGGGTTCTAATGGGAATGCTTTGGTTTTTGAGGAGTAGATGCTGTGTAGAAAATTTGCACTGACATCGCAGGGTGCAGTCGGCATCGCCTTTTGATTTTTTCTATTTTTCATTAATCAGTAACCAGTGCAAAAGAAACAGATTAGTTGAAATATTGTTACAAAAAATTAGTCTATACTTACGTGGAGTTAATTTTCATATTTCTTCGTCCCAGTTATAAAATAACCGTCTACCTTCATTAAGCATTCCATTTATTTGTTGATCTTCTTAAGCATAAGTTGATTTATCTTAAACATTCAAATTATTAGTCGATCTTATTAAGCATAAGTTGATTTATCTTAAACATTCCAATTATTCGTTGATCTTCTTAAGCATAAATTGATTTATCTTAAACATTCAAATTATTAGTTGTTAATAAGTTAATTTAATTTATCTTAAGCATTCAAATTATCTGTTGATAACGAAGACAGCATCCTTTTTTGTATTACATGATGAATGAATGTAAGACGCCGGCGTTCGATGTATGAATGTATTACACGTTGGTACTCGATGTATGAATGTATAACATCGAAACTTGATGCCTGTTTTGTATTGTATTTTTTTGTTTGAATATACGAAATTGAAGATGATGTATTAATGCATGATACCGGATCTTGATGTTCAATTATATTGTAAGATAAAAAACTATTAGAAATTATGCGTCTCTATGTATCTTTAATTGAAATACGGTGGTGGTAAAATTAAATTTGAAAAGAATAAAAAATGTCTCTGTGAGCTGAATGGAAATAACATTATGTGAAATAATGATTCATGATTATATTTAATAGATCGAAACACCACTAAATTGTGTTTCTTTTGATAATCAGCGTAAAAAATCGATATTACTAGATGAATATACATGTTGCGTTAAGAAAAAGATAACAAATAAATCTTTTGACATTGCTGTGCGAGGTAAATGCTCTCTTCTGCTATATAAAACGAAATCTAAGGATGAATTAACACAAACATTAATTGTAAAGTTATCCATAAATAAGGATGCATTACTATGCAGCACCATTTTCAAACTTGTACTTTCATAGGAGAAAAATCCTCAAAGACAACTTCTAAGAATAGCGTTGATCAGCTGTAATTTTACTTATTTCACTAAGGTTATACAAAAAAATTTGTATAAGGTAAAAGAAAAATAATAACACAAAAAATTGTCATGGAAGTTTTTTTCTGCCATTTCGGGGCAGAATTTATTGAATGGATAAATATTGTTCAGCAATGTCGTATTTAGTTTTTTTTATTTAATTTACAGTTGAACTTGTGTTCTTCTTCTTACGACACCAGCTCCTCTCATCCCTAACACAACTTTAATCTCTAAAATGTCAACACTTTCACATCACTTTTCGAATTCATATAACGAAATTCAACTGATCTTGCAAATTACAGTGGCTCATACACTCAGTCAGAATAACTAAGTGAACTCATGCACCCTAAATTAAATTTTGCCTCAGTTCAAAGCAGATGCTGGTTCAGCGTCGAAAAAGAGAGTGGCAGCTGAACTGAGAGAGTGAGCAGACGAGTAAGTGAGAGCAAGCGCGCAGCCGACACGTACACCACCTCACGCCACCGAGTGTTGCAACACACTGACTCTTGCGGTACAAAGCCTGCTTATATACACACTTAGCGTTCTCAATTAATTTACTTTTAGTTAAGAATTTTCGTGTCGTAAATAATTCTCGTAAGTAATTAGCGTTCTCAATTAATTTACTTTTAGTTAGGAATTTTCGTGTTATAAGTAATCCTTATCGGTGATATATCATAATTCCTGGTGATATAAAAACATTTTGGGTTTTAAATTAAATTAATTATGATACTGAATTTCTGCTTGATAATGTTTACTGACGTGTGCGTTATACGTCAGTAGCAGAAATGATGAGCTTCATTAAAGTATACAATGATTCTATGTTTGTATTATTGATGCTAATAAACCTTAGAAGGTTATGAATAAATCTAAATTGTTTGAAATTATTTGGATTGAATTTGAAGGAGAAAAATTTGCTTCAATATTTTCAAGATTCTTATCATTATCGAACATTTCCTGACATTTAATATAAAAGAATGGAAACGCCTTTTTTTAGGTTTGCTGGGATAATTTTTTCATCTATTAAGTAAGCTGAAAAGTGGAAATGATTTAAAATCGACAAGAAGTTTTGATATTAAATTTCAAATATTTCACTCGTAATATTTCAATACAGGCATAATTACTCAATTATCTTTGCCTGCTATGACATGTATCATCGCCTGCTATGACATGTATCATCGCCTGCTATGACATGTATCATCGCCTGCTATGACATGTATCATCGCCTGCTATGGCATGTATCATCGCCTGCTATGGCATGTATCATCGCCTGCTATGGCATGTATCATCACCTGCTATGGCATGTATCATCGCCTGCTATGACATGTATCATCGCCTGCTATGACATGTATCATCGCCTGCTATGGCATGTATCATCGCCTGCTATGACACGTATCATCACCTGCTATGGCATGTATAATCGCCTGCTATGACATGTATCATCGCCTGCTATGACACGTATCATCGCCTGCTATGACACGTATCATCGCCTGCTATGACACGTATCATCACCTGCTATGACATGTATCATCGCCTGCTATGATATGTATCCTATAATCTATAATATCCTATCCTATAATGTATAATATCCTATAATCTATAATCATCCTATAGTCTGCAACGTCGAAAACATGAAAAAATCCGGCAGTCATTGTGCGTTTCTTTTTCTTTTAAGCGAATACGAGTGAGTTTTTTGCAATTAAACTAATTAATTACAATAAAAATACAGATGTATGGGCAGGTATAGTTATGTTTTTATATATTTTATGGAATGAACATTAAAAATGAACAGACCTTGTAACAAGAGTTTCACCATATTGTCGAAGCAATATGGAAATGAAAATCAACATTATCGATTTCATCGTTTTTCCTTTAGGAAATTTTCTTGTATAGAAATGTATAGAAAAATTAATATACACAGTTAATATGTTAATATTCATGAATAATTCAATTTGAATAATTCCTCTTCTTAATCAATCATTAGGGTTTAATTGGGTGGAATTCGCTATTTTCCCCCGCATACAGAAGATGCACGAATTTCATAAACACTAAACATACGAACTTCACTAAACATTTCATATGCCTTTGTGTGAATTAAAATTTCCTTTTCACAAGCTTAATTATGGCTCACATAGACCCTCACATAGTCCCTCACATAGTCCCTCACATAGTCCCTCACATAGTCCTTCACATAGTCCCTCACATAGTCCCTCACATAGTCCCTCANTTCTCTATTACTTCTACTAGCATTTGCCCACCTACTGAGAACTTGACTGTTCGCAGCTTCTCTATTACTCCTACTAACATTTGCCCTCCTACTGAGAACTTGACTGTTCACAGCTTCTCTATTACTTCTACTAGCATTTGCCCACCTACTGAGAACTTGACTGTTCGCAGCTTCTCTATTACTCCTACTAACATTTGCCCTCCTACTGAGAACTTGACTGTTCACAGCTTCTCTATTACTTCTACTAGCATTTGCCCACCTACTGAGAACTTGACTGTTCGCAGCTTCTCTATTACTCCTACTAACATTTGCCCTCCTACTGAGAACTTGACTGTTCACAGCTTCTCTATTACTTCTACTAGCATTTGCCCACCTACTGAGAACTTGACTGTTCGCAGCTTCTCTATTACTCCTACTAACATTTGCCCTCCTACTGAGAACTTGACTGTTCACAGCTTCTCTATTACTTCTACTAGCATTTGCCCACCTACTGAGAACTTGACTGTTCGCAGCTTCTCTATTACTCCTACTAACATTTGCCCTCCTACTGAGAACTTGACTGTTCACAGCTTCTCTATTACTTCTACTAGCATTTGCCCACCTACTGAGAACTTGACTGTTCGCAGCTTCTCTATTACTCCTACTAACATTTGCCCTCCTACTGAGAACTTGACTGTTCACAGCTTCTCTATTACTTCTACTAGCATTTGCCCACCTACTGAGAACTTGACTGTTCGCAGCTTCTCTATTACTCCTACTAACATTTGCCCTCCTACTGAGAACTTGACTGTTCACAGCTTCTCTATTACTTCTACTAGCATTTACCCACCTACTGAGAACTTGACTGTTCGCAGCTTCTCTATTACTTCTACTAGCATTTGCCCACCTACTGAGAACTTGACTGTTCGCAGCTTCTCTATTACTCCTACTAACATTTGCCCTCCTACTGAGAACTTGACTGTTCACAGCTTCTCTATTACTTCTACTAGCATTTGCCCACCTACTGAGAACTTGACTGTTCGCAGCTTCTCTATTACTCCTACTAACATTTGCCCTCTTACTGAGAACATGACTGTTCACAGCTTCTCTATTACTCCTACTAGCATTTGCCGAACTACTGAGAAAAGCAACCCCAGTTACCTGTCTCGGCTGAGCTCGGACGAGAAAACTCTTTTAACGCCTAATGAGTTTGGTCCGATTTCCTGCGGGTCTAATTATATTCAAGAAAAAATCGCTGAGTTTACTGCAATAATCTTGCTGTTTAACGAAGCATTTCTGAAGAAGCACTTTTGGAGGAAAACTGGGTTATATTCACATACAAAATTTATGCAAAATAATTCTGGCGCAATAAGAAATGAATTTTTAATTTTAGGATTTCGAATTCATTTTAAACTAATTGCAATAGTTGCAAACGTCTACAATTATTTTAAAATAATTATGTTGTTAATATGCGTTGTAAGTTAGCTTTCGCTTTGACCAAATAATAATTATTCCGTGAAAGCATTTGAATCGGTTCTAATTTCAAATTTTCGTACAAGTTTATTCGCTAAAAGAGATTATGCAAGAAAAATTTTTCTAAAAGTCTTAAGTTTAAGTATTAAATCGTAAATAACCGAACCTAACTTATTTAGTGATAATTTTTGCATGTGTTATGGAGCTCTTCTAAGACTTTCTTACAGGAGCCAAGAGCAACCATTACATGCAGCGAAAAAAAATTTATTTGCAGCAAAATATTGCCGAAATCTTTGCCAGGAACCGGACTTGCAATGCCTTAATGTAGACACCACAGCAGGTTGTGTGCTTTGGTTCTACGGACTTGATGTTGATTAATATTACGTTTATGTCATATTGCATCATATGTGTAAATGGAAAAGTTAATGGAAAAGAACGTGTAAATGGAAAAAGTAAATTCGTTCAACCCTAAATGTATCGTTTTCTTTTGCTAAGCATCATCAACAGTATAGAAATTTGATTATTTTTTTCATATTACAACGATTTTACTTTACAACTGCAATTAGTCATAAAAATTCAATTGAGAGATATTCATTTGGATGAGAAGTTCACTTCCAATTATTAGTAGCGTATTAATTACCAAAAACTTTCCACTCATTATTCTCACAAAGACATTGACACAATAACCAAACCTGCGCAATAGGATGAGATTACAGGGGAATCCTTGGAAATAGTTGTAATATTTTTATGGATAATTAATAACAATAAATTTCAAGCCGTGAAAAAAATCAATCAAGGTAAGCAATCAACTTCAGAAATTTCTGTATCAAAATATTTTGGCCATTTCAGGAAATCAAAAAATATACAAATCATACAGGGTATTCTTGAGTATTGTAGTCTCCCAAAATTGCGACTTTTATTACCTAAAATAAATTATTTATTTTCTTCGGACTTGGCAACGCCGAGTTGGAAGTTTAGGTCGCGTTCACATTAAGTTCAGAATAACTATTTTCTTTCCTACCTTCAGAGGAGGTTGACTAAGCGCATTAGTAATTTTAATTGTATCCCTTGTAAATTTCTGAAAATCTGACATATTTTATTCTATATTTCTTAAACTCAGAATACTTTAGTTTAGGGAATATGGATGATAATCTTCGGTAAGACCTACAACTCCACAGGTCATTAAAGTTCCCAAGGCTATTATTTTTTCATTCATATTCTATTGTGAACTGAAAGAAAACTTTTTAACAAATTTCCCCGGCAATAAAAGCCTTTAATTTGAACCCTTCAATTGCAAATTTTACATCATATGTGGAAAACCGTAATTTTGACTCGTTCATCGCTTGACGCGAATAATATTTTACCCAAGAAATTGACCGAAAGTATGACAAGCTATCCATTGAAGGCTTTCCCTTGCACATCGAATATTTGTATAGATGGATGTTTTGAAAAACTTGCACAATTATTCACCGAAATCCGCTCCTTAGCAGATGTCATCTAAGATCTAGATATCAGAGTCGTTAGAGAAAACTCTACGGTTTCTACACCGAATATTCAGTTTACTCTCAGGCTGAAGAGGTCGGTATGAGGCACAGTTTTATGATGCGTGTTATTCGAAAACGAGAGTGGCGCTCTCTGATAACACAGATTAAGAAATGCATATTGATATGTCAATTTAAACTATTCGATGATAATTTTTATTTTAATAATTTTTATTATTATTTTATTTATAAATGAATAAATTAATAACATTAAAATTATTATTTAATTAGTTATTATTATTTTATTAATATTCAACCAGCCAATTCAACCAATTAATATAAATAAAAATTAATTGATTTTTGGTATAGATATATTCACGAAAAAACTTTTTTGCATCATGCGTAACTCTCATCAATTCATCTTGCTGCAAAATTCATAAAATCGATGGCCCGTTGTTTTAAAGTAGTTCCCAATAGAAATCATTTTTTACGATACTCAGAAAGAAACTTTCGAGCATAGACTAAACTGTTTTTTCAGCTTCCGCCATCCCTGAAGACAGGTCAAAAAATGAGTTTCCATGCAATTTTTTATCTTTCCATATGAATAGACATAAAAATTTATTTCATCGTTAATTTGCCCAATTATTTCAATTTAGCAGGGGTGTTGAATGCTTCTTCATTCAATCCGGAGGAAGAGTGTATTTAAATTGTTCATGGCAACTGTGATTCACAAAACAACACACTGTGTAGGTAAGGCAAATATAACGAAATTGATTTTTCTTTTATATTTTCGAACGTGGAAAATTCGCACTGACATGCCTAAAAATGCACCGCAATTCGTAATGTAAAGTTGACTTGGAAAAATAAAATGAAGCCGTAGTCAAAAGTCAATCAGCCGATAAGAGTTCTTTTTGGAACTAATTTATTAAGTTTGGAAAGCTTTACCTAAATTTGTTTCAACATTTATCTTTAAATATGGCTTGACGGAATTTGAAAATCCAGAATTAAAAAATTATGAAATTATCCTTACCGCTTAATTATAAATCCAGTTTGAAGATTTCGTTATCCTAGATAAATATGATGGTATTTTCTTTAATAAATTGATGAATGAATAAATAAATAATATTTTTAATTTGTTAAATTAATCACAATAATTGTAGAAATTTCAAAATACTGATGACGGAAATCGTTTATCTTGATCCCATGTATTAAGTCTGAATCATAAATTATAACCATGTATCGAAACATTTCAAAAATTTCATGCATGGTTTTTCAATGTATATAGTCTGCAGAAGATTTCCATCAATCGCATCAAATAAGACGCTACGTTAATAATTTAAATATTTGCATGCTCACTCTACTACTGCAATGTTGTGCATAGAAAGAAGACTATTTGCTTACACTATTTTACATGTGCTTATTTTACGACAAAATATTGTAAACGAAACGTAAAATTTCTAATTCGTGTTTATTTTTCTAATTTCATGACGGATCAGATACTGAATCATAGTTGTGGGACAACACTAAAGACATTATTCATATGGGACCCGTGGCCACAAACATTTTCTATGTATTTGATGCTCGTTACAAGCAAAAATATTCTAATTTAATACTTGAATTCTTCAAATTCTCAATAATTTATTTCCATTATTTTTTATTCTCAACAATTAGAAATAGTTCAATTTATGTAATTAATTTGAAGAATCAGGACTCTTTACCATAAATATTCCGGAATGATTGCTGTTATTTTGCTAAACTAATTTTGAAATATTTATATATTTTTCTCTACACGATGAATAATAATTCAATTCAAAAGCACAGAGGAATTTGAATCGCATTTTACCTAGGAAAAAAATTCCACTCAAACCCTTATGCCTAAAAAATTATTAATAACAGATGATCTTAGTGACTTTATTTTAAGCAACCATGTCCTGCCAGCTCAATAGTTTACATAGTTTATATTAATAGTTTATTGATAGCTCAAACTATTAATAGCTCAATAGTTTACATTAAATGGGAAAACAAAACTCTGTTCTTGTTAGCATCTTTATTGAATGTTAGAAAACACAGCAAGAAATGAACCATAAATAGCCCGCATGAAATAAATACGTATCTTTACAACACAGATGATAATTTAAAACACACGATGCTTTGAAAAACAAACATACAGCTGAAGCATTACACGCAAAGGAACATCTTGTAAATTGATTTATTTAACTAATAATCAATTTGTTCTCACCATTTGACAACCTTGAAAAAATGTTGGAATCTCTTCGTCTCGTTAATTCGGTTTAATATAGTAGAATGAATATGAATTGAATATCGTTTTAATCGATTTTATTGCATTAGAATAATCTGCCTTTTAATAATAATAATTAGCCTTTTCAGCGCATTTTCTCATTTATGGAAAAAATGCACTATTGTGCTCGCCATGTCCGTCTGTCTGTCTGTCCGTCCGTCCGTGACCTCAAGTTTTCGTCGACGAGAAAATGCGCTCTGTCACTCACTGCTGTGAGTACTGCATTATATTTTTTTACCATATGGCAATCTTGGACGAAAGTTAGAATCTCATCGCGTTAATAAAATTTTGTAAAATTTAGTTTTATAAAATTTAAAATTAAATTGAATTAGAATTGAATTTTATAATTCAAATCTATCAAATTGAATTAGAATCTAATTTCAAAAATATAAATTTTTAATATTTTAATTTGAATAATGAAAATTGAATTATAAAATTCAATTTGATAAAATTGAATTAGAAAGACCTATCATCAATTTTGACAATAATCCCATGTAGTGACCTCGTCATACATATATAAAATCACATACAAATTTGCTGGCTGTGCCGCTACTATTTTCGCTGATCAAATTATTTCAATGTTTTTATTCGTATTTTTAGCGCATTTTCTAATTTATGGAAAAAAATGCACTATTTTGCTCGCCATATCTGTCTGTCCTCTGTCTGTCCTCTGTCTGTCCGTCCGTGAGTTCACGTTTTCATCGACGAGAAAATGCGCTCTCTGTCACTCACTGCAGTGAGTACTGAGTTATATTTTTCTAGTTTGCTTGACTCCAGATGGTTCAAAAGTTTTCGAAGCCTTTTACTAATTTTTCAGTCAAGATTCACTCGTGTACAATGCAATCAACAGTAGTTAGTATGACATAAAAACTATGATGATGAAGCTATTTGAAGAATGTTTCATTTCTCAATCCTTGCCATGAATAAAACTAGAAATTTACGATCGTTCTACCATCGTAG